AAGTAAATACTGAAATAAAGGATGGTGAAATAAAAGTCACTTCAAGTCAGCCTCCAATAAAGCATTACACTGTCCCGCGCCCACAAGTTTTCCTGAATCCAGCTCCACCTACTTTCCCTGAGGTCAAAAATAAGATTTCCCAAAATGTGCCAGTCTCACAGACCAGTGGCAGTGAGCTCATGTCAAAGGACAGTGAAGTATCTCTAGTTCAGGCGCTAAAAGAATCGCTCACCATGACTAGACTTCCAGCCCCAGAGCCATTTGTATTTAGTGGCGATCCGCTAAAGTTCATAGAGTGGAGCACTTGTTTCAAGGCTCTCATTGAAACTAGTTGTGTAGATCCAGCACATAGACTGTTCTATCTGAAAAAGTACATAAGTGGAGAAGCGCTTAGTGTATTAGAAGGGACATTCTATAGAAGTGATAAAGAAGCCTATGTACAGGCTTGGGAGGCTTTGAACAAACGTTACGGCCATCCTTTTGTAATTCAGAGAGCTTTCAGGGGAAAACTAAGCAGTTGGCCAAAGATTGGGTCAAAAGAGTCGCTCAAATTGAGAGAGTTTAGTGATTTCCTCATTTCATGTAAAAACGCTATGCCCCATGTACAAGGTCTTAGGGTATTAGACGATTGTGAGGAAAATCAAAAAATACTCCTCAAACTTCCTGACTGGGCAACAACTCGCTGGAACAGACATGTGACCAAATTACTGGATGAAGGAAAGGAATATCCAGGATTTGCGGAATTTGCAGAGTTTGTGGCTGAAGAAGCACGCATAGCATGCAACCCAGTCTCTTCCCTGTTTGCATTAAGGACATTCGATAAACCAGACAAAGAACAAAGGCGTCTAAAGGCTAGTGTCCTAACAACTACAACAAAAGTGAACAAAAATGCAAAGACAACCAGTACAACTCAGAGTAACAAGGGATTCAAACCTAGCCCTTCTGCAGCTCAGAACAAAAGACAAATTGAGTGCGTCTGCTGTAAGCAAAATCACTTTATTTACAAATGTGAAAAATTTGCTGAAATGTCTTTAGAAGAAAGGAAAAAATTTGTCACTGAGAATAATATGTGCTTTAGTTGCCTCAGAGTTGGACACTTTTCTAAAAGCTGTCGTCAGAAAGCTACTTGTAATGTTTGCAGGAAAAATCACCCTACTCCACTTCATGAGGACCGTCCACAAGTAGACAAACCTGAAACGCCACCATCAGAAGAAAATGCTTCTGCTGTGTCAAACAACGTGGGAGTGGACAATAGCGACCGAACGTCAATGATTGTCCCTGTGTGGCTATCTTGCGCAGAAGGCAATGGACTTGAAATCTTGGTTTACGCACTGCTAGACACTCAAAGCAGCAACACGTTCATTGTCCAAGATATTTGCGAAAAGATTCAAGCGCTCACAGAACCAGTGAAGCTTAAACTGACAACGATGACAGACAGGGGATCAATTGTACAGAGTCAAAGAGTGGATGGGTTGAAAGTAAGAGGCTACTACTCCCAAGAGTACATTGAGCTACCACCCGCATACACTCGTGAGTACATCCCTCTTGAACAAAACAGTATTCCCACTCGTGAAACGGCAAAAAGGTGGGCACATCTCAAAGGCATTGCAGAAGAGATGTCAGAGCTGTTAGATTGTCCTGCAGCACGTCTGATTGGTTACGATTGTGCAAGAGCTCTGAAACCAAGGAAAGTAATACCAGGCAATGACTACGATCCTTATGCAATCAAAACAGACTTAGGTTGGAGTATCGTGGGAGTCATCAAGCCTTGGACAAGTTCAATGGAAGTAAACGGAGCATGTCATCGTATTTCTGTCAAAGAGATGCCATCTATCACACCCTCTTCTGTGATTAGAGCACTGGAAACAGATTTTCTGGACACAAACCCTAAAGAAGGAAACATATCACAAGAGGACATTCAGTTTTTGCATATCTTGAATGAAAATGTACACTTCAATGAGGCAGGTCATTTGGAAATGCCTTTACCTTTCAGAGAGCGTCCACAGCTTCCAAATAATAAACGGCTTGCTACAATATGTCTGAAACATCTGAAAGCAAAAATGGAAAGAAATCCAAAGTACAAAGAGGACTATGTGAGATTCATGAGTAGTGTTTTCGAGGATGGTGATGCAGAGGAAGCAGTTGGCATATCTGCAGATGGTAACACATGGTATATACCTCACCACGGGGTATACCATCCCAGAAAGCCAGAGAAAATAAGAGTTGTGTTTGACTGCTCTGCTAAATGGGAGGACACCTCTTTGAATGATCACCTCCTCACAGGCCCAGACTTAATCAATGCTCTCATAGGGGTACTCTGCAGATTTAGAGAACACCAAATTGCCATAACATGCGATGTTGAGAAAATGTTCCACCGCTTCCATGTCGCTCCAGAAGATAGAGACTTCTTAAGGTTCCTGTGGTGGCAGGATGGGAACACTAATGCAGAGCCCAAAGAGTATCGCATGCGTGTTCATATTTTCGGAGCAGCATCATCACCAGGATGTGCGAACTATGGAATGAAATGTCTTGCTCGTGAACATGAAAAGGACTATTCATTGGCAGCCAGCTTCATTCACAAAAACTTTTATGTGGATGACGGGTTAATCAGTGTTGACTCCGTCCAAAAGGCAAAACAGTTGGTCTGTCAAGCACAAAAGATCTGTGCAAAGGGCAAGTTACGCTTACACAAATTTGTTTGCAACAAAAGGGAGGTCTTAGAGGTCATACCAGAGTCAGAGCATGCTAGTAATGGCAAAGACGTAAATCTGAACTATTCTGATGTGCCAATGCAAAGTGTTCTGGGAGTGAAATGGAATGTAGAGGCAGATACGCTTTCATTCAGTATAGTCCTGAAAGAAAAGCCAGCCACACGTCAAGGAATCCTGGCAACAGTTGCAAGTGTGTATGATCCATTAGGATTTCTCTCTCCGTACATTCTAACAGGAAAACAGGTACTACAGGAAATGTGCAAACGTGGTGTAGGATGGGATGATCCTATTCCTCCTGCATTGGAAACCAAATGGAAAACATGGCTGAACGATCTGGAAAATCTACCAAAGATTCAAATACCAAGATGCTTCATTCCTGAGGACATGGGCACACCACAAAGGATCGAGCTGCATCATTTCGCAGATGCTAGCAGCAGTGGCTACGGGCAGTGCTCATACATAAGGATTGTTGCGGAAGACAAAGTGCACTGTGCTCTAGTTATGGGAAAAGCCAGAGTGGCTCCCACTAGAGTAGTTACTATACCGCGTCTTGAGCTCACTGCGGCTGCAGTTTCCGCAGGAGTAAGTAACTTCCTCAGAGCAGAGCTAGAGCTAAAGATTGAAGAGGAGTTTTTCTGGACCGATTCACAAGTGGTGCTCGGGTACATTAAAAATGAAGCTAGGCGCTTTCATGTTTTTGTCGCCAACCGAGTACAGAAAATCAGAAACTTTACAGATCCAAAACAGTGGTTTCACGTCGAAACAGATCAAAATCCAGCAGATCATGCTTCTAGAGGTCTCAAGGTGGCAGAGCTCATGAACTCAAACTGGCTCAAAGGACCTAGATTTCTATGGGAACAAGAACTTGTTACAAAGTCACATTCCCCAGAGCTTTTAGTGGGAGACCCTGAAGTAAAGGTTCTTAAAACTGATGTTCTAGAGAGAGACAATTTTCTTGAGAGGTTCTCTAGATTCTCAGACTGGAATACAGCAGTTAATGTTGTTGCAAAGATAAAGAGACTTGCCAAAAAGGACAAATCAGAACCCATTAGTGTTGAGGAGAGACAAGCAGCTTCGTTTGCACTTATTCGGGTAACACAGAGACAAACTTTTGAACAAGAAATGAAACAGTTGAGTGAAAAAGCAAACAAATTGCCCAAAACTCACAAGTTGTACCAACTTGATCCTTTTGTTGGTAATGACCTACTTAGGGTAGGAGGGAGGTTAAGAAAATCCTCAGCATCATTTGAATTGAGACACCCTGTTATTCTCCCTAGGGAAGGCATTGTCACACAACTTATTCTTGACCATTGTCACAAGAAAACACAACACCAGGGCAGAGGCCAAACACTAAATGCACTTAGAGCCAGTGGCTATTGGATTGTAGGTGCCAGTAAGGTAGTGGCCCGTCACATCAAAGGTTGTGTTGTGTGCAGAAAGGTACGAGGGCCAACAGAGGAACAGCGTATGGCTGACTTACCAGCTGACAGAGTAGATCCCTCACCCCCTTTCACTTATACAGGAATGGATTGTTTTGGTCCATTTTACACGAAACAAGGTCGAAAGGAATGTAAACGTTATGGTCTTTTGTTTACGTGTTTAAGCTCCAGAGCTATTCACATTGAGATGTTAGAAGATCTTTCTACTGATGCGTTTATAAATGGATTGAGATGTTTTATAGCGATCAGAGGAGCAGTGAGACAGATTAGATCCGATCATGGTACAAATTTTGTCGGAGCTAAGAATGAGTTCAACAAATGTCTCTTAGAACTTGACAAAGACAGGATTGCTACTTATTTAGCTAAACAACAGTGTGACTTTAAAATGAACATTCCTGAAGCGAGTCACAGAGGCGGAGTTTGGGAACGCCAAATCAGAACCGTCCGAAATGTTTTGAGTTCTGTCCTGGCACAAGCCACAGGAAGATTAGACGACACCTCTTTGAGAACTTTCTTTTATGAGGCCATGTCAGTCGTAAACAATCGTCCGCTCACTACCAATACTATCAATGACCCAAAGAGTGCAGAACCTTTGACGCCCAATCATTTACTTACAATGAAAGAGTCAGTTCCATTTCCACCTCCAGGCGATTTTGTTAGAGAGGATTTGTACGCTAGAAAGAGATGGCGAAAAGTACAATACTTGTCTGAACAATTCTGGCACAGATGGCGCAAAGAGTATTTAACAAACATAAGCCTAAGACAACAGTGGCATACATCCAAAAGAAATGTACAAGTCGGAGATATCGTGATAGTCAAGGAAGAGAATATTCCCAGAAATGAGTGGAAATTAGCGAAGGTAGTCGAAGCGAATGAAGATGATGATGGCTTAGTACGAAAAGTTAAGATTCAAGTAGGACAGAAAGATTTAGGAAAGAAAGGTGAACGTTTAAAACAGTTATCTTTTCTTGAGCGACCAGTTCAGAAACTAGTGGTACTAGTGCAGAATGAGTCTGCTTAAGTTTTCCAAGATTTAAAACGAAGTCAGAGTTCAAAGGTTGATGTGTTGTTTTTTTTTTGAAAATTACAATGTTTTACTTGTGTGTAAATGTACACTTTTTGTAATTTTGGTGGCAGTGTAGCTGTCTCAGAAGAAATGTGTTTATTTTTTGTTTATATTGTAATTTAAGTTGATTGTTCACAATAGTTATGCCATACCTGTGTTGCACTAGTGACTCCTTGTGGTCGATTAGGGAAATAGCAGAGCGCAAGGCACGTGTTCAATTGGATAGAGACAGATGGCTTCCGGTGATTGAAGAACACGGACACAAAAAGGTCGCTAAGAAAAGGTACAACAATTGGAAACAAAAAAAGGACTGAAATGGACTCTAACCACTCCTAAATGTTAGTGCAGAAGGCGGACACGGTATGTACTTTTATTTTGATGAATGTGGATGTTTTATTTTACTTTTAAGTTGAATTTTATTGACAAATATATTGTTTTTGCTTATAGTTTTTCACGGTGGTTGGTTGAAGGTCCAGTAAAAGAAAAGGCTGTGACAAAATAAATAACGACTAAAACATCAGTTGAAGCGTGGCTTTATCTGTACAAACAATAAACTTTGGGAGCAGTTATAGACATTGAGGTCATTTGTCATGTGTGACGAATATCTAACAGGACACGATTGATAATGGCAATAAAAAAATAAACAAAAAATGCTATTTAGCACAATAGTTCCACTTAAAGAAAGAAGGTGGGGGACATGTAAACAGACTGTGGTCATACCCTGAAAGTCCTGCGCTCCCACTGACAGGGAGAAGAGCTGCTCCCCTGGTTCTCCTCTCTCCCCTGGTTCTCCTCTCTCCCCTGGTTCTCCTCTCTCCCCTGGCTCCCACACCACCGTCATGGCCTGTCCAGAGGAGAGGATGAGGTGCTGCTGTCGGCCCGTGCAGGTCACTCTGCTCACAACAGAACCATGCCCTCATGTGTGTGCCTTGGTGTGTACTCACAACTGTGAGTACACACCAAGGCAATTGTAGCAGCAGTAGTAGTAGTAGTAGTTGCAGCAGTATCGTAGCAGTGGCAGTAGTAGGAGTAGCATCAGTAGTACATGTAGCAGCAGTCACCATCATAGAAGTAGTTGCAGTAATAGAAGTAGCAGTAATAGAAGTAGCAGCAGTTGTAGAAGTACTAGCAGCAGTATTAGTACTACTTTAGTATTTGATAGATACATAAATACTGTATTGATCCCGAAGGAAATTGTGCACTCAATCAATCAATCAATTGAAATCAATTGATTGAAATTGTGCATTAGTCCCTTGCTCACATTTACACAAACACAGCAGGTTAAAGTTTAAAAATGACATCATTAAAAATGACAATAAATACATTAAAAAGTTAAGGCACTGGAAGAAAATTTTCAAGACATCTCCGTCCCCTCTGCTATCCGCTCAGCCATCTGAGTGAATAGAACTCTCGCTTCTCAGCAAGAAGGTCCTGGGTTCGAGTCCCATTCGGAACATGGCCTTTTGCAAGAGTGGAATTTGCATGTTCTCTCTGTGTCTGCGTAGGTGTCCTCCAGGTGCTCCGGTTTCCCCTACCACTAAAAACATGCACAATAGGTATGAATGTAAATGAGAGAGATGGTGTTGGTCGGGGGCTGATGGTCCAGTGTGTTCGGCGACTCGCTTCCGTCATCACCGTGTGTGGAATGATTGGAACAATATCTGGACTCTGAATATTGTAAAGCGCTTTGGGTGACCTCGGTCTGTAAAATGCGCTATATAAATAAACATTACTTACTTACTTACTACTGCTCCTCCCTGAAGTGGCTTTGCTTGTTTGTTTGCCTGATGGCGTTGGGGAAAAAAAGAGTACTACTTCAAGCAATAGAAGTAGAGCTCCTCGCCCTACACCTCACCTCACGCTGCCTCTGCTCGACCTATACCCACTGTCCCCACGAGATCAGGTCTAAGCTCGCCACCATGGGAGACTGGGCCTTCGCGGACGCAGCTCCTCACCTCTGGAACGCCCTCCCAGAGACTCTGAGGGCACCACAAAGTGTGGAGGCCTTTAAAAGAGTCCTAAAAACCTCCCTATTTTTTATCAGGCCTATTATTAGCTTATGTACTTATGATTATTTTTCTCTATTTTTTTGTTTGTGGTTTTGTGTTTTAATCTATAGCAGTTTGAGGTTATATATAGCCAGAGTTGTAGTGGAAGTAGTTGTAGTACTACTTTAGCATTGGTATTACTTCTAGCAGTAGTAGCAGTAGTAGTAGCTGTAGCAGTAATAGTAGTAGCAGTAGTAGTAGTAGTAGTAGTAGTAGTAGTAGTAGTAGTATAAATGAGTAGACCGATCAGTGCCACATGTGGAGCAGAAGCACTGAACACATTCTCACCTGGTGATGAGCAGCTCCTCAGAGGGCATCAGCGTGTCGTACACCAGCAGAGGGCCCTGACACCAGAGGATGTGCAGCTGCAGCAGGGAGCCGGAGGGGCCACAGAGCCTCCACCTGCTGGCGGAGCAGTGGAGCGGGGGGCCCGGCAGTGCGATGGGGCCCCTGGATTGTAGCTCAGTGTACGTGTCACAGTCTGCAGCACAGGCACACAGAATACTACACAGACAAAGTATTCTACAAAAGGACAGAGCGCAGTGATTCAGAGAGAAATGCTGCCTCAGGTGAAAGGAAATATCAATGAGTCAAACACACACTCATTGATATTTTCTCCTCTTATACCATTGTCCCCGTAAGGAAATGTGTCCACTACATTTGAACTGCCCTGTAAGCATCCATCAGAGGCAACTCTCAAATGTTCAAGTTCATGTTTGGAATATTTCAATCAAAAAAACAGTAAATCAAGAGAATGTTTTGTGATTATGAAATGAGTTATGAAAAATGCAACGTTTCTCTCTCATTTTTTGCGGGTGTTACGTTCTCAAAATAAATGAATAAATCCTTGGAATTAGCAGCTCTTCTGAACTCACCACTGCTGAAGTGTGATCACAGAGAAATCAAACCGGTTTGTTTCAGTGGTTTTAGTGTGTTTTTTTGTGTGTAGAAAAATATTTTATAGTAGGACAATATGATGATTGGGTCAGCCTGGATGGAGATTGTGAGTTGACGCACCGGTGACCTGCAGGGAGGTCAGCAGGGGCAGGTGTGGCAGTGGGGCCTGGTTCATGTAGAGGCGGAGGCCCTGTGAGAGGCTCTGGGTGACCATCTCCACATCAACCTGGGACTTGAGGCTGCTGGGAACAATCAGGAGGAGAGAGAACAGGGCCACCACACTGCCCCGCCTGCAAACAAAGCGGGGACATGATCCTACTGTTTGCCACTGACATGTGCGTATGCAGCAGTAATGTTCCATTTGAACCCCTCAAATCTGCGCTCACTTCCCGTGCACACCATGTGTTAGGTTAGGCAGCCGTCTCAGTGGTTGCTGAGTCACGTGAGACTAAGACTATTTGTCTCTTATTGTGCTCAGGCTTAATAATAATAGATCATATTTAAATAGTGCTTTTCTTTACAAAGATACAAAACTTGTCACAGAATGATGTCATAGGTTCTAGAAGACGGCTTACTTACTATAAATCTGAACACATTTTCCCATTTTTCATCACAAACTGAATGGCATTGAAATTATAGTTTACATTATATTTCTTCCGTCACTACAAGACACAATATTGCTAAAAAAGAGGAAGTGGTTTTTGGACTGTGACATCATCATGAGCACCTTTAAACAACATACTTCACTTTGGCATTTCATATTTTTAAATTTGAACACAAAAGTCAAAGAAAATGTTCTCCCAAGGACATGCAACAATGTAGGATACACACTTTAGGCATACATGATTAGCCTAAAGAGCGTTACTACGCTTTACCGTTACTACGCCTCAAGCGTAGCAAAGCTGCCTACCCATGCAGAGAAGAACAGACGCACAGCGACTGATGAAGATTTGGGGAAGCACCAGGGGGCAGCACTATAATCTGTTAGCTTCAGTCCTGTAATTGTACCACTCTGATATCACACACAGTATTGTACGGTATTGCCCATGAATTAGTTTTGGTAATTCCTCATTTGAAATGAGGTTGTTAACAATCATATGTCTGAGTTTGAGCAGGTCATTTTCAGATCTAAAACAACACATATTTTTCCCCGCCATCTGGTGGTAGTCTAGGGAGTTACAGGCCAAAGTATTTTTTTACCCTTCATACTTATTTCAGTGCATGATTTCTACTAAAGATGTAATTTCACATTCTAAAACTTGAAAAGACAAAGTAAACCATCTCAAAAATATGAATGCAAATATTTTTGAAAGGACTGGCGTTACAGTACAGAGGAGGAGTGGACTCACCCAAAGGCCAGCACCGAGGACTGGTTATAGTACGGGGCCAGAAGCGACGCGTTGACAGCTCTGTGGATCTGTGCTCACAGATCAAGACATGAAATGACAACATTATTGTCAATCAGCAGCAAACAATGCAGAATCTGTGTTTAGATAGTGTTCTTTTCTTCAGGTATAAGTGGGCAAAGAGCGGACCATGTGCTGGACGAAGCGGGCGCGGCTCCTAAAGGCCAGGCTGCTCTGGGACGTCAACTCAGGGGAGAAGGTCGAGTTCAGGAGGACCAGAGAGGAGGTGAAGGAAAGGAAGACTGGCTTCTCCTGGTGCCAGACGTGGACCTCTGAGACAGACTGGCTTTAGACTTGGTTCAGTCTTTGTTTAGTGATTTGAGGGACGTCTGAAGTGCTCAGGTCCTTAACTCTCATACTCACCCATGAAGTACCAGAGAAGGACGGCAGCAGAGACCAGGCTGATAACTGCTGCAGCTGCACACGTCACCCTGCGCAGCCTCGTCTGCAAACACAAACAGCCCGTAGCAGCCTGTGGCACACAGTGGGAACAGCTTCAGCAGAGCGTCACAAGGAATGGGGACAGTCCTTTAAGATCCAATAGTCATATCCATTTGATTAAGACTAAAATGTCACATGTACAAACAGGTAAGTGTTCACATCATTGGTAGAGTCAATCATTTCTGTAGAACATTTGTGTCAAACCAGTTCCAGACAGGGCCAGTGTGGATGCAGGTTTTAACTCCCCCCCCCTGCAGGAGCACACCAGACTCCTTCTTGAAGTATACTGATGATATTCTACAAGGTTCCCCCTCAGAGTAATGCTGATGCTCAGTCAGAGTGACCATCAGGTTCTTGGTCAGTTCCTCAGACCTCATGGCCTGGTTTGGGCTCTGATAGTCACCCTCAGCTGTAGGTTCCTGAATTGTCTGGTATGTCCCTTTCCAAATCATGTTAAACCTGCAGAATTGACCACAGCTGGGCCCCAGACAATATTGAAAATTATCTGAGGTCATTGAGTTTTAAGAGAAGTTTTGTATTGAATACTTTCTGATATTCCCTATAACTTCCGTCTCGGAGGAACCAGGACATGTTAGAACTCCAAACACACAAAGTAACAGGAAGTAACTGTAACAGGGTACAAGTATGGACGGCACTAGATCATATACGGAATCGGGACGAAACCGGAAGTAACAATCCTACTTTCAAATTAGTTTTAAAGTAGTAAGATGCCTGAGTAAGATGGTTAAGGTTAGGGTTAAGGCTGGGTTGGGGTTATTCTAGGGGAATGGCTGGTTAAGTTTAGGCAAGAATAGGTAGTTTGTTATATTTACTTCCGCTTCCGTCCCAATTCCGTAAATGATCTAGTGCTGACCGTACAAGTATCACTACACTGCCACTTTGAGTTTGGGTGTGGTTTTCTTGGTTTATGTTTTTTCTTTGTTTGGTGTGGGCCCATGGCCATGTTTTAATTAATTGGCAGCTGTGGTGGGCGGTACTTCCTGTTCTAAAAGCTCAGTACACCTTCTCCTCTCCCTGACACTCTCCCTCTGCTTGGTGTGCAACAGAGCTCGGGTCCTCCAGGTGGCCGGCGGTTCTGCGCAGCATCTGGGGCCTGTATGGGGACAAAGCCACACCAACACGGCCAACCCAAACTGCTTTATTGCCTGGACCCTGAAATTCTGTTTTTAAAGCTCGCACCCTTAAGTTTGCAATCCAGCCTCTCCCCTCTGATTTTAACCTGAATAGCTTCTATCCCTCCTGATTTTAATCATACTTTTTGTAATAAATAGGACTTTTGAAATAAATTATTTAAAACTTTTAACTGTCGTGGTCTCCTTGTACCCTGGTGATCAGAACCCAAAGATTGACGGTGTTACATAACAGACTAGGAAATTGCTTTGGCTCTCGGCGCAAACCAGTCAAAATCACAAAAAACTCTTGTAGGCTTTGCCTTGCATGACTTCGAGTGGTGACAGATTTTCTGTCTCACAGTCACAGAGACCTCACACTTCACTCTCAATCCCTGTAATAAGAACATGGCAAATGGTATTTCATTTCACTTGACCAAACCTGGACAAACATGGTCTCATAAAAGGCACGGTTTATAGAACAAGGAAGGATGAGTAAGGAGGTATGAAACAATTTGGATGCGGCCAATTAACAATTTTTATCAATAAAAGGTTTAACAGTAAGTCTTGCAGGATTCTGAAACGAACCAAACTCCCGGAGCTGTCATTTTGCTCCCATTCAAAGCAAAGGAATTCTGAGAAATTCCAATAAAAGGCTTTTTCACCAGATTTATTAAAAGTAAGTCATTTACAAGCTATTTACCCTTACTCACTTTGAAATAAGTGTTAAAACTAGTGAAAATACAACAAATGCTCACTGCAGACAGTAAACAGTGTGTTGCTATGGTAACTTGTTGGCTCTGCTCCAGAAGTTAATGGTAAAACTAGTCACATTTCTAAAGTAGAAGATTGTTTTTTTTTTAAATGGCATAGACATATAGACACAGAAAACATTATGAAGACAAAACAATATTCATTAAAACTTCCAAAACTAAAAGCCGTCCAATTGACAGCTCTGGGAGTTAGGGCACTCATGGAAATAAATGAATATTTGTGAATGTTGCAGATCAAATATTTGCTAAGATTTTCCGGAGACCATTCAGCTGACACAATAAACTCTTTGGATACAGAAACATGCATATCTAAACAGCATATGTACCTGGCTGTGAGGGGCAGCCCCAGTGCCGTGCTCACCGGCACAGAAGCGGGGTGCAGCAGGGTTCGGCGCCGTGGCCTCGAGTCTCATGGTGTCCTGCGACGCTCCGTTCAACCTGCGGAAGAGATCTGTGCGAGAGAGAGAGAGGAGAGTGTGGTCCTGGAGAAACACGTCCAGAGGGAACATCACCATGCAACACACAGCTGCAACAGCAACCTGCCTACACACACACACACACACACACATACACACACACACATACACACACTCAAACATCACACACACACACACACACACACACACTCAAACATCACACACACACACACACACACACACACACACAAACATCACACACACACACACTCAAACACACACATTTACACGCGCACACACACACCTCTATTAAAAATACAGAATATACTTTTTTCTTAAAGGTGGACTTAATTTTCAGAACCGCAAGTGAATTCCATCCTGCGTGGTCACATGATTGTTCTGTCAAGATTTAAGTGCTAAAACGTAATAATTAATGTAATTTTTACTTGTATTTGTACAGTGCCTTTCACAGACAAAGGGCTTCCTGACGGACCTATTGTACATGTTTTACTGGTAGGGGAAACCTGAGCAGCAGTAATCTGCTTTACTCAGTAAAATGAGCATCAGGAGGAAACCTATGGAGTCAATGGGACTATCAGGAAGTGTCCATGTCTTGCCCTTGTGTCTTCTCCTCAACTAAAACGCTTTTCCCTCCCATTAAAATGGATGTAGGTTGTGCCCAAAAATAGAATGTTGTGAACAAATCAGACCACAGCAGACCATCTTCATCTTATTACTTAAAAAAAAGTGTATTCTGTATCTTTAATACAGGAGTGTGTGTGTGTGTGTGTGTGTGTGTGTGATGTTTGTGTGGGTGTGCAGAAATAAATGACTTCCCGAGAGGGCCCGGGTTAAAATTACGCTTGTATAGGGATGGGAGAACCACAAAAAAACCTAAGTGTTTAGGCTGTAGGACCAGGCACACGTTGAAAATCAGACTAAGTGTTTTGAGAAAAAACCTAAGTGTTTAGGCTTTGAGGAGCCCGGAAAGCGGGGCTTACTTCCCCCGGGAATGAGCACCCAGGCCCGGATCTGAGCGGGAGCAAAGCCCACCCCGGTGGTAGCCCAGGTCCGGACGAGTGCGTGGGTCCAAACCCCATGTCTCTAGCCCCCCTGGTTCGCCTTCTACGGGCCCGGGAAACCCCCCTTTTCTTGACCGAGAATAGGCGCTCGTGAGCGGACGCGGCGGCGCTGTCCCCCGGTGGTTTCCAAGGGCCATAACTTTCTGGTCCTTTGTCCCCCGCGCGTCAAATTCACACCGCGGGTAGCCCGGGACCAGGGGAGTCCCTGGGTCCAGACCGCGAGTCTCTGGGCCTCTGCGTTGATTTTTAACCAATTTCTGGAGATTCTGTAGTACCAGACGCACACGCTTTTGGAGCAAAAAATGACAAAGTGTCTTGTGAATTCAAGCCCCTTTTACGCAGGCCGTAACTTTTTGGTCTTTCATTTCCCATGAGTGAAATTCACGGAGGATGTAGCCCAGGTCCGGACGAGTGCGTGGGTCCAAGCCCCATGTCTCTAGCCCCCCTGGTTCGCCTTCTACGGGCCCGGGAAACCCCCCTTTTCTTGACCAAGAATAGGCGCTCGTGAGCGGACGCGGCCGCGCTGTCCCCCGGTGGTTTCCAAGGGCCATAACTTTCTGGTCCTTTGTCCCCCGCGCGTCAAATTCACACCGCGGGTAGCCCGGGACCAGGGGAGTCCCCAGGTCCCACCCCCGTGTCTGTAGCCCCCCTGGCTCGGCTTTGAGGATCCCGGAAAGCGGGGCTTTCTTCCCCGGGAATGGGCGCCCAGGCCCGGATCTGAGCGGGAGCAAAGCCCACCCCGGTGGTAGCCCAGGTCCGGACGAGTGCGTGGGTCCAAACCCCATGTCTCTAGCCCCCCTGGTTCGCCTTCTACGGGCCCGGGAAACCCCCCTTTTCTTGACCGAGAATAGGCGCTCGTGAGCGGACGCGGCCGCGCTGTCCCCCGCTGATTTCAGACCGACGTAACATTCCCGTCTCTTGTCCCCCGTGCGTGAAACTCACAGGGGTCGTAGCCCAGGCCGAGACGAGTCCGTGGACACCTCGGGCGTGTCGGTCCGACACCGGGGGCCGGTTCTAGGGCGGTTTGGAAATTCAGCCCGGGACTCCCGGGCTGACGAAAAATAACCCTCACTCTGCGTCCCCAAAACGGCTATAACTTTCCCGTCTCTTATTCCAGGAGGCTGAGATTTTCAGGGACGGTAGCCCAGGTTGAGACGAGTCCGTGGACACCTCGGGCGTGTCGGTCCGACACCGGGGGCCGGTTCTAGAGCGGTTTGGAAATTCAGCCCGGGACTCCCGGGCTGACGAAAAAATCCTCACGCTGCGTCCCAAAAAGGCGAGGTCAAACCACTTTCTCCAAGGGACCTATATGGGGAATATAGAGAGGGTGTTGGTCGATGAACAGAAACATAGACACATGTGGTATCTGCGGATTCGTCTCGACGAGGCCGTTCGAATGGTGCACACGGCATGCCTCTGCAGGGCTCCTGGTGGAAGTGATTCGAGCCAGACGGTTCCCTCACACTGCATGCCTGACGCTACTCGGCAGCCTCCCAGCGCGGGCTGGGGGCTCTCGCCGGACCTGTGGGTGGCGAGACCGAGGCGTCCTGTCTCTCCCGGATGCCCAGAGACGTCTGTCCCCCGCCTTGGGGTGGTGCTGGGGCTGGTTCCTCCTTCAGCCGCCCCACGGGCATGCCTGGCTCCACTCAGGGCTACCTGGTTGATCCTGCTAGTAGCATATGCTTGTCTCAAAGATTAAGCCATGCAAGTCTAAGTACACACGGCCGGTACAGTGAAACTGCGAATGGCTCATTAAATCAGTTATGGTTCCTTTGATCGCTCTACCGTTACTTGGATAACTGTGGCAATTCTAGAGCTAATACATGCCAACGAGCGCTGACCTCCGGGGATGCGTGCATTTATCAGACCCAAAACCCATGCGGGGCTTCCCTCCGGGGCACCGGCGCAAGACGGACGAAAGCGAAAGCATTTGCCAAGAATGTTTTCATTAATCCAGAACGAAAGTCGGAGGTTCGAAGACGAACCTCAGTGTTTAGGCTGTAGGACCAGGCACACGTTGAAAATCAGACTAAGTGTTTTGAGAAAAAACCTAAGTGTTTAGGCTGTAGGACCAGGCACACATTGAAAATCAGACTAAGTGTTTTGAGAAAAAACCTAAGTGTTTAGGCTGTAGGACCAGGCACACTTCGAAAATCAGACTAAGTGTTTTGAGAAAAAACCTCAGTGTTTAGGCTGTAGGACCAGGCACACGTTGAAAATCAGACTAAGTGTTTTGAGAAAAAACCTAAGTGTTTAGGCTGTAGGACCAGGCACACTTCGAAAATCAGACTAAGTGTTTTGAGAAAAAACCTAAGTGTTTAGGCTGTAGGACCAGGCACACATTGAAAATCAGACTAAGTGTTTTGAGAAAAAACCTAAGTGTTTAGGCTGTAGGACCAGGCACACGTTGAAAATCAGACTAAGTGTTTTGAGAAAAAACCTAAGTGTTTAGGCTGTAGGACCAGGCACACGTTGAAAATCAGACTAAGTGTTTTGAGAAAAAACCTAAGTGTTTAGGCTGTAGGACCAGGCACACGTTGAAAATCAGACTAAGTGTTTTGAGAAAAAACCTAAGTGTTTAGGCTGTAGGACCAGGCACACGTTGAAAATCAGACTAAGTGTTTTGAGAAAAAACCTAAGTGTTTAGGCTGTAGGACCAGGCACACGTTGAAAATCAGACTAAGTGTTTTGAGAAAAAACCTAAGTGTTTAGGCTGTAGGACCAGGCACACGTTGAAAATCAGACTAAGTGTTTTGAGAAAAAACCTAAGTGTTTAGGCTGTAGGACCAGGCACACGTTGAAAATCAGACTAAGTGTTTTGAGAAAAAACCTAAGTGTTTAGGCTGTAGGACCAGGCACACGTTGAAAATCAGACTAAGTGTCTAGCTTGTAGTACTAGGCACGTTTTGTTCTGTTTGTAGTCCCAGGCACGCCTGGTTTTTCCAGCAGCGCTTAAGGGTGTGCAGTCCGAGGGGGGGGCTTAATAGTGGGTACCCGGGTCCGACTGGTGCACAGGTCTTCCCCGGCCCCGGCGGTCCCTGGAGGTGCGCTTGCGGGGGTGTGGGGTGCTGTGGTCGGGCAGCAGCCTGCACAGAGCCCCCCTGGAGGTCCTGGGCTTGCCCACACCTAACCTTAACCCCCATGGACCGGGAAAAAAAGCAAGGGCCCCTTCTGGGTGACCCCATAGTGGCGTGGAAGCCCGGGGGAGTCGGGAGTTTGTTGTGGGATGAGGACTGGAGACACGAGAGGGAGGCAGTGAGACAGAGTGCCTATGCTGTCCCTCGCTTTTCTCTTACTCTCCTCAGGGCCTCTCTTCTCCCTTCTTCCCCACACTAAACTTCAATTCTCCCTTGCACAGGAGGGTACACAGCACCTGCCTGCAGGGGCGGCACACGGCGAGAGGACGACCGGCTGCGGCTGAGCCCCCGGGCTAGGCGCAGTCCTCTCGCGTAGTGGCCGACGCCAGCTGGCTGCTAGACAGGCGGCTTTCAACCCGGGGTACGTCCGTCCTCGGAACTTTGTCCCCGGCGCGGGGTTAAGGAGGCCTATCTCTCTAATTTTCCTCCTACTACTAGTTGTTATGTTGAGAGAGGATCGGCCCTCCTTAACCCCGCGCCGCGGGACAAAGTTCGAGGACGGACGTACCCCGGGAGAAAGCCGCCCTGTCTAGAGCCAGGGGCAGTCACTACGCGAGAGGAATCGCGCCTGAGGCCCGGGGGCTCGCTGCCGGCAGCCGTCGTTCCTCGCCGTGTGCGCCAGCTAGGCACGGTGCTGGGGTCCCGTCCCTGTGCTATGATATGTGAAGCGTCCTGTGTGGGGAAAGAAGGGAGGAAGTGAGGCCTGAGGGGAGAGGTAAGAGAAAAGCAGAGGACGGCCTAGGCCCTCTGTCTCTCTGCTCCAGCTCGGTGTCTCCAGTCCTCAGTCCCACACAAACTCCCGACTCCCCCGGGCTCCACGGCCAGCTATGGGGCACCCAGAGGTGACTTTCGTCTTTTTTTTTCCTGGGCCGGGCCTCAC